TGGTGGAACCGACCTTCGAATCTCTTCACCCAACACTTCTACTCGAAATGGAAGTAATCCCAACAACTCTTTTCCTTCCTCAAGGTCCCTTCTTCTGCTGCCTTGGCGCATTCTCATTCGAATATCTTTTTGGGGGGGAATAGCCATTGAGAAACAGACCGAGTATAAATAGTAACCTACTAGGTTTTAAAGTCTATCAATAAATCGTATGTACATAAGTGGTGTTCACCTTATTTCATTCAAGGCGATAAAGGACTGATAGCTGAAATTTCCCACAATGAGTGTGCCTCATGCTTCCAGTGGATTTCATATAGCCTAGCTTCCCAAAATGAATTATTGCCCAGGATGGACGGCAGTTACGACCTCGCCTAGGTTTTATCAACACGCCCAGCGCGTCTCGATACATGACAGTACGGCGTGTAATCTCGACACGTTAATTACTACGCAACACCGCCACGAGTGCCCTTGGGTCACAGAGCAGATGTGAATTTCAAGGTGGGCCAGGCATTTACCCAAATCACATTATCTGGTGTGATTGTCGATGAAGAAAACTTATATTTGCAATAGAAATCGACGATATTACTTATTTGTCATGCCAACAAAGTGGTGTCATTTGAGCAAACGGCTGAGTTTCCTGAATCAAATGAACCGATGCTCAGTTGAAAAGTCAACTAGGAGGGCAGTGATCTGTTGATACTAATATTGACGGTCTTCAAAAAACTCGCCTTTTGGGGTAGAGGCGGAAAACATGTCCGGGTAGATGTAGGAGAACAGATATAACGAGTTGGCGGCCAGTCGGATGGTGACAGATTTCTCGAGGCCCTGACCGTATGCAACGAGGCAGGGTGGTGGCGCCAGACTCTGCTCCTCCTCTCGAATGTCATTCCCACTACCCGACAGTGTGAGTGTTGTGCCTACCATAGCCTTGGTATAACCTCTCTCCACCTCCTGCCTCCTTTCGTCCGCATAGTCTGACTCCGTCCGTCTCGTCTTCACGTCGTCAACGGCAGCCTCAGCGTCTGTCACCCCAGCCTCTTCTGGCTTCACTCGTGCCGACTTTAGAGTCCTCATGAACCAGTCGTCAGACGAAAAGAATCTCCCGTTCCCGGCGCCGCTCCCAGTCACCGCAACATCGACGGGCTCCAAGGTTTGTAGAGCTTCGGATAGGCTGGTCGGCCCGCCGAGAAGGTTGTGAAAACAGCTGACTCGTGGTGACAAGATGGCAGCAAAATTGACTGGCAGGGAAGAGTGCAGGCGGGAAAGAGCTCGATTCTCTTTGTCACGACGCAATTGAGCAGCCAACCTCGACTTTTCACGACGCTCAATCACCAGTTTGGCTGGATCGTTGATGCGTTGATGTGGCGCGCTGAATGGCTCATCTGCCGTCGAGGTAACACCTACCGTTGTGGACAGGCCGGCCAAGAGATCTGGCCTCCGGAAACTCGATCGCGTTGGCTGGTGTGACAAAAGTGTAAGGTCATCTCCTCGCTTTCCGGGGCTCCAGGTTTTGTTGGCCGAGGCATCGCCAGACCGTCCGGGCGTGAGGACAGAGGCTGGTGCGCCCAGCCGGATCGGCGCCTCGGAAACTCGACTTGTCCAGCCCGGTACAGAGTCGAGTCTTGGCGCCAGAGCGAGAGAATCAAGGAGACGACAACCGTCGGTCTGGCCGAGAACAAGTGAAGTCTTCGTCTCCACCTCCACCTTAGGCACCTCCGCGGAACTGAATCTTGACGACCAATCAGCCACTGCGTCCGGCTCTCCTGCCCTCCCAGAATAACCTACGACAGGACATGGGCAAGCGGCCTGATGACCAGTTGTCATAGCAACAGGGGCTGGGCTCAAAAAGAGCGTGGCGCCGAGGGAGTGGGGCGGAGTGGAGACGAAGGGGGCAGAAAAGTTCGGCTGTGGAGAGGAGAAGAGGGAGTGGGTGGAGGGGAGGAGAGTGAGTGAAGAGGAGGTGGAGGCGCTGGCGGAAGAGGAGGGGGATGAAGAGGGGGAGGGAGAGGAGGAGGAGGGTGAGGAAGAGAAGAGGGAGGCCGCATGAGCAGCGTTGGGCTTGAGTCTGTTGGCTGATGCGATGGGAGGAGGCGAGGCTGAGGGTGGGCGGTGCATGGCCGGCCGGTTGGACGAGGACCAGGACGTCGCCCGAGCGGTGGGCAGCAGAAGAGAAGTGACCGCAGGTACAAGGCCAGAGATGCCTGTGGAGACGGGGGGCCGAGGCAACGGGTCGACGGACTTGCATGTCGAAGAGTAGCGATGATCGCAGCTGAACGGCGTCAGAAAGGGAGACGTCAAAGGCAGAAGACAGCAAAGCGGTGAGACAGCCAAAGGATAAACCAATCTACACTCGGTTCTGCGAAATGGTACCTGATCGAAGTCGACAAGGTTAGAAATGCCTACAAAAAGCTGGGCTTCGAGGCATATTGTGGTTGACAATAAGTGAGCTCACCTCTAAAGTGAATGTGTGTAGTGACTGGGTTCAAGGGTCAATCCCACCAGAAGGCAATGGCGGATTTCAATTGGCCGAGTGTCATTTAGCTCGAATATAACATCTGTCAACTGTCTTGTGACGGACTACATCAGACTAGGATAACATTCGCATAGCCATACTCAAGCTTATGAGATATCTTCAATTTACTTCGTTCAGGGACATAAGGTGATTGGTATTTGAATTCTCCCACAATCATATGAATAGACCTCTAGTGGGTTAGTGTGATTCGACTTTTCATTTGAAGGGAAAAATTGGCAGCAAGGACTTCATGAATTGGCCCCACAAGAAATGGGAGGATTGTCGCAGACTAAAGAAGACTGTTGGATTGTGCACAAATGTCCTGCGACCCCGATGAACCCATGCTAAGCCTTCGTCTATCACGTGACATACAGCATCAGAGCGAGAAACCGAACTTCACGAAAAATCGCAACAGCATGTCTATTCTCTTTACTTACTATATTGGTGCGCTATATCGTAAAGTATGCTTTCTCGCTCTGACAATATCTGTCACATGAAAGATTTAAGCTTAGCACGAGTTTATCGGGGTCGCTGAACGATGAGCCGAAAAAGTATTCGTACAATCCAACAGTCTTCAATCCTCATTCGGTCTTTGGCGTGATCAAAACACGACTTTGTTGCATCCAATTTTGTCTTCAAGATGAAAAACCGAGTCGAACAAACTGTGTTCTTTTTCCATTCAGTTCGCGAGACTAATGACATGTGCAGATAGTTGCACTTTTTCGTCTAGAAGCTGGCAAGAATCTGACAGTTTGAGAGGACCGTGTTAATACATTGAAAGCCAGTCTGATTACGAGTTTCCAAGTGAATTGTACCTCGCAATGCATTCTCAAAGACCGATCTTATTTACAAGAGAGATAAGTACCTATTTGTTGGACACTTGTGTACTAATTCGCCACAACTAATTTGTGCAGTCAGTAACAGTTTTTTAGCTCATAGCTAGCAGAAACTAATTGTCAACAAAGTACAGCAAGCCGGAAACCAGCCGAGACTGTTGAAGCCCATCAAAGGTCCAGAACATCTCATACAACGCAGACAGCAGTTGGTTGGATTCCAATTCGTGTCCCACCGACCCAATAGAAAAAGACACGACAGTGCATCCAAGTGAGTGGACCTGTTTCATCGGCTGAAAAGATGCAGAGTCGGGAAAGACGAAGATGAGAGGAAACATATTAGCTCAATTTGCATAAATCTGCATACCGTGGAGTCGGAGTAACGTGGACCTAAGAACGCTAAACGGGACATGTGCAATAGCGAATCATGAGGTCTCGAAACCAACAATTCCGCCCTCAGCGATTCGGGATTTTCAGAGAAGAAACATGTACCAGAGGAGGCTGCCAGTCCATTGGTCGGTTGGCCTAAGAAGAGCCGGCAGTATCGGCTCATCCATCACAGTACACCGAGGTGGTTTATGCGACCTGGTATAAACTAAAAAAGAGCCGCCATAATCTGATAAAATGAAGATGCAAACGTGTCTATACAACACACGGACAGGTGGATATGTGTAGATCGGCTCCTCTATCGTCCTGGAGGGAGGTGTAGGGAGCAGTAGCTGTGTGCATTAGTGCAACTAAAGTCTGTAATTTTGACAATACAACGCATAAATAAACTGACTAGCCTTATACAAATAATTCGGCGCTTAGCTGGCTCGATAAAAGACCTCCCCTGGTGGTAGTCGAGCGAAAGGTCAACTTGGGCAGACGAGCAAGTGAGCGAATAGATAAGTGGTTCATCCCACATAGCGAGTATGATTTATATGGAGCCGGATAGAGGTGGTGGAGAGGTCGTCGTAAGAGGGCGGTAGGGCCACGGCCCCTGTGACAGGACCGTATGTCTGGTTGGCAGAAGTACCATCCTGTCGAGGTGGGAGGAGGGATAATATGAAAGTCAAGAAACCCATTAGAATTAAGCGAGAGACAACCAAACAGGAGGCGGGATTCAAGCTAAAAGTCCATACAGCCGTACTAGGCAATTGTCCGAAAATCAGAGCATACTGCCTGATTCAGATCAGTAAAGGCACACACAGGACAGATGCCTTTTCCGGAACGAGAATGTCGGAAAGGGCCGAGAAGGTTGTTATGTCATTTTGCGCTTGACTGAGTGCCTGGACCTCCTTTCAGGCCCGTCAAAATGTACACATTCAACAGCAGCACATCATCGAATCGAGAAGTATGGTGGTTTGTTTCTGCCTGCCCCGTTGGCGCCCATATCCATGGCGAGCGCAAGAGGTCAGAGCATACAAACCAGTCGGAGCGAAAATTTAACGACTAATAAGAATCACATTTCAGAATGAGAAACTCGCTGAAGAGGAGCGAACCAAACCAAAATGACCGTCCACCACGAGTCGGAAAGGCATTAATTTGTCAACTCACGACGAATTGAAGTGAGGACTCGACGTTTACGCCATCAAGCCATCCAAAACTGCGATCTTATCCAGCATGGACTGCTGTTTCGAACTCGCTAGAGTGATGTTGCAAAGTAGGGTACAATATAGTCAGGCCTTTACTACAGCTGCTCGTGGGCAGATGAGCTGACAGTATCCGAAACATCAATCGACTAGAAGCTAACCTTCCCTCACCAACGGAACTCGACAATGGTTTCAGCATGCACTCGAAAGTACAATAGAGTTCTCTTGACTCGTTAGCTTGAATTTCGTTGTGACGATGACATCTTGTTCTGATGATGTTTGTCATATGACGGACGAAAGCTTAGCACCTTTTCACCGGAATCGAAGGAGATTACCTCTAAAACAGCGTCACCATGAGTGTTCCAGTAAAGCCAATCGACAGCTGGTCGAGAGGAATCTGCCGTCGTTTTCAAATGGAATCGACCTGAGAATCTCTTCACTAAACACTTTCACTCGAAATGA